TGAGAATAAAGAAAAACATAAATTAGGGAATTATCAGGCGATCCAATACCAGATTCTCTTACTAACATGACATGAATTTTGTGGCAGACAGTAAGGTGAATTACTAATGAGATCTTGGGAGTGAAAGGGTTAATTCTACACTGAATTCCTCTAATACTCCATTTTACAGTTGTTCACAAACTCTATTACACCATGCCAATTATATCCTCTTCGATCTTTATCACAACTAGGTCTCACTTGTCGCTATGTTCTAACTCTTTGTTCAGAGCTACACACACAGCTGTGCGATGCACAATTATAGAGTTGAAAGTCAATTAAACAGTTTCTTCTATTCTGTCACTATGTAAAATTCTACCCCTGAGCTATTTTCTAAGTACTCAGACTTAGAGAATATTCACTTGCTGATATATTTCTTAATCAAAACTCTGATTCTATGATTGACATCTGATTTCAATAGCTTAGATTAAGCAGTTAATAATTATTATAACACATTGTAATACACTGAATAGGAGGGGTTCATCATCAACAGATGGCCCCAATAATAATTATAAAAATAAATTCAATTTTAAAACTCTTACTAGGTTCATGAATCTCTTTCCCAACTGGTATCAAGGGAAGATCTTTCCATCGCAAAGCCTGAACTTCTTCACGGCCTTGAGGCACCTCTAAGGCAATGATGGATGACAGCTTAGTTAGGAAAACTATAGCTGCTCGTCCATTCTTTTTGGCTGTCTCTAAGTCACTGGAGTTGTCTACTAACTTATCCATAAGCACTTTAGCCAGTGGTAAAACATGTGGGCCAGCAGCTGGAATAGCAGTGACAACATGTTCCAGAATCCGCTGAACCAAGCTGAAATTTGACAATTGACAACTGATTGTAAAGGAAACAAGTAATATTTGAATTAATTCACGGTCAGTTAAATTAAGTGAAATTAAATCACATTTTTTAACAAAGATCAAGAAAAAAAAAGGGAGCAACCCAACTCAACTACCTTCCCTTTCTAACCTCACCACCAGCTCTTTGCCAGAAAAGGCTGAAAACTCATGATAAGCATAACCTGGCATGAACAATATGGTAGCATATATATAACAAAATGTCTGCAGCAACAACCACCAAAAAATTTCAAAAAAAAAAAAGCAAAAAATACCAGAGGCTAATAGATTAGCAACAATTAATAATCACCCTATTTAAAACTCCCGAGATCTAAATAGTGATTCTCTACAATCTTTGCCATTCATCACTTATAATTTTAGTTCCAAGAATTTGGTGATCAATCAAATGGCTGTCATCCCTCTAGTTGACCATTTTTTTACTTATCATCACCTGTCTTCTTGATGGTTTATGGAAATTGTGAGGAGAAGTTCATGCTTGTTCACTCCTGGAGTGAAAGGGATAAAAGAATAAAAAGAAGTACAATTTTCAGTTATGTTTATACTTACCTCCCATCTTCAATCGTCTCATTGACAAAATCTGGAAAGAATGATTTGAAGAAAGCACTCCCCTGAAACTTTTTCACAAGATTAGTGACTGTGTGTGACATATTTCTCTGGGCACTGGAGCAAATCTTGTCAACAATGGATAAAATTTGCATAGTCATTGGTGTTGTATACAGTGCTTTGGGAAGTTCCAGGATATATTCCCATAATGCAGTACATCTAAAAATGGCATGGCACAAAATCAGTAAGTCATGTCACAAAATTGGTATAAAGTCCCTCAACAAATTAATTAAGAACTTGTGATGCTTGCTTTAATTAATAACTCTCTATCTCCCAAGATCTGATTGTTAATTTGAGAATTCTCGTTGCCTAAATGAGTGCAATTTGGTCTTAATAATTGAGTGCAAGTAAATTTTTCAAAGACAATAAATTTACTTTCAGCACCCAAACCGGCAAGTGCAATTTGTAGTCTTTACAAAAATTTACATGAGAAATCATTTTTTTACTTATCAATGATGTACATGACAAAACATTGCATTAGAAAGGTAAGACAGACATAAATTTGCACTCATGTTACAACTTTGCATTTGTATTACATGAGAATGCAGTTAGTTTATAAGTTGTCAGTAATATGAATAATGCATGAAATGAATAATGTATGGATATTGTAGGTTGAAGTTATTTTTTAATCACTTCTGGTTAAAAACCAAAGTTCTAAGGAAAGTTGGCAATAAAGCTACAATATTTTGCTCATATTAAAAGTATAAGAGCACAATTCAATAAATAAAGTTTTGCCAAGCAACTGGCAAAAGATGTACCTCACAAGTTCAGTCACTGCAGCAGTTGAGCCTTCACTTGCAATCAAAAGGTTTAAAAATGACTCAATCTCAACATGATCACGATGGTAACACCTGGCAAAAAGACAGGAAAGAGATTTTTTGAAAAGTGGGAATGCATGGGGGGGGATTCTCTAAGATGCAGCAGGAGGGCAGTTCTTGGAAATCTTCATGGAGATATACAGCCTTGTTCTCCAAATCCTGGCCCTACTTGAAATGAATTAACACATACCATTTTCCACATCACTTTTAAGACATGGCATCTGAAAGCCGTGCTTGATAAAAAGCAGGATGATTTTGCAAGTCAAAACCATCTAGTTCTCATTTGGAGAGTAAAGAAGAAAGTTTCTGGCAATTCGTATTCCAATCCATATGCTAAGTAAAATATAGGATAAATTAGTGAGCCAGTGGGTAATAATGCTACACTAACATAGAAGACTCCTTGTTCATTTACACCCAAATGCAATTGCTGATTTTTTATCTCGAAGAGAAGAAAGCTAAAACATGGTTAGTGTCACAGTCTACTGTCCTTCTTTCCCTGGATAAACTGATGACGCTTCTCGAAGTGATCTTTCCAATAATCCAATGGAAACCAGAGGTCATTTTTTCTCAAAAAGAAGAAATTTAGTTATCTAGTAATGAAGTTTATTTTGTATCCTGTACACCATGAATCAATTTTTCCAGAAAATAAGATATCCCTTATGGTGCTGCTCATTTCACAGTGATTATTGCACAGTAACATTTCATATACTTTTAGGATGAAATGTAATTAGAGTAATGTAGTATTGTTATAGGTGCAGAGATCAGTCTCTAACAAGTTGTTACAAGATATCATGGTAAGATTGAAATTTATAACTGATATGAACTATACTTACTTTATCAGTTCTGGTTCCATTGCAACTCCTTCCTTTCTCCGGCATTGTGTTACTTCAACAATGTCCCCAACTTTAAGATCATATCCTCTTAGAGATTCGTTTTTAACATCAATGGCATGCTCAATCAATTCTGAATGGCCATCTTGAGCCTTGCGAGGTACCTTTATTAGCACAGACAGCTTACAATGGCCTGCATTGTATGTACATTTCCGTATCACAACACCATGAGGCTTTAAATTTTCTTCAAACAAGTCTATCAGGGCTGACCTTCTTGAGTCACAAAACTCAGAAAAACTGTCATTCTGTTCTTCTACCTTGACAAACTGTTTGAGTTGTTCAAAAAACACTTCTGGTGTTGTTTTTGTTACTGTTGAGCCTGCTAATTTCTGCTTTTCATCTTCTAATTTCTGCTTATCAATGAAATTTTCCAGCAGCCTTTTGTGGTATTTGTATGTGGGGTGTTTCTTGGACAGTCTATATCCATTAGTTTCCCAGCCAGCTGGTACTGACACATGAGTTAGATATTCCACAAGTTTATCCTTAAACTTCCTGCGTTCAAAAAAATCAACACCTGGACATATTCTAGACACTAAACTATCAATATCTCCATCTTGTTCGGTAGCCATCATTGAAAATTATCCTCTTCATTCTAGAAGAGTTAAATTACGAATGCTCAAGAATTAACTTCTGGGTGGGGTGGGTCACTTCCTGAGTATTCATAATATATTTCTTGTCTCTCATAGGCATTATGAATGAAAAATTTATCTCGTTTCCTGAAAATTAAAGGCTAAGCTTCTTCCTGGCGACTGAAATGAAAGTAGTACAGTTTGTCAATGCCAAAACATGGCTAGTGTCACCGTCTACTGTCCCTCTCTCCCTTGGATAGAATGACGTCACTTCCTATGTGATCTTTCCAAGAATCCAACGGAAACCAGAGGTCATTTTCTGAGAAGTGCGAGACCCAATATCAGTCAATAGAGGTTTCAGGGAAAACGCAGTTGTTTCTCTCGAAAAACATCGCCATAGCGTACTGAACCAAGGCCCCAAGTCGTTAAAAACCAAGGTGTATGGTGCAAGCAAATACATCCAAATAGCCGCCATTTTGTAAAACGACCACAACTTTTTAATCACCAGGGTAGAGAGGGGAACAGAATTTGCCTACTACTGTAAATACAGGTATGGTGAGTGCAACTCCGCGCGAAATTCTTTACTGAGTCGTATTCTTAAGCCTAACTTCACTGTTTTAGTGCGTCATGGTACAGAACCATCTAATTCCAGATGATAGGACTAGGTATTGAAGGGTAGAATAGCCTGAAAATGGACATATATGTAGGGCGAAAGACTTGACATGCAAGTATTGAAGTAAATGTCGTGTTGCTTCGTTCGCGGTATTTCATCGCTGTCTCTTCCAAGATACGATCTTAAATGCTCAGCGAACAAGGGAACTGATTAATGCACGGACAAATGACCGTTTACATTTCGCTGGAAAGAAGTATGGCTTCCACCATGCGTAGCATATCATATTTGACAAGAACAGAGCTTGTGAACGAAAAATTAAAATTTAGTGTGACCTTAAACTTCCCCGATTTAGTCGCGTCACTCAAAGCTATTTTAGGAAATACCTGGAAGTGAAACCCGAAATAATTAATAGCGTTTATCTGGGAATGAAGCTATGCAAATTTGACCAACCAAGATTTTTTAAGACAAAGGTAAAAGGAAAAATTTTCTTCTTGACCCACCTACGATAATAATACTAGTAACCTCGAAGCAGGTTTTGATCTCTCCTGTCAGGATGTCGAATACACAAGGACCCACAGTCGTGACAAGGGTGATTCCAATCCCCAAAGACAAAGTTGGACTTGTCATAGGAAGGAAAGGATCAAGAATACAGGAAATCAGAGAGCAAACCGGAGTCCAGCTATCAATTAATAAAGAAAATCAAGCGCTCTTGAGAGGTACGGCAGAGCAATGTCAAAATGCGGAAAAGATAATAAAGGAAATCGTGACGGTAAGAGCTCATTAGTGGGTAAAAGGAGGCTGAGTGTCTGTATCTAACTCAGTGTCAATTGAACCATCAAATCGCTGTTCTAGATACTGTACATAGTATGCTTTTGTTTTCATATTAAAAAGCAAACTTAAATCAAAGAAATAAGAGGGTAGTAAATCCCTCAAAGAAAATATCGATATCTACGTAGAGAGGTTTGACTGTAAAACTCTAATAGAGCCACTCTTTTTTCGGTACTTAGATTTTTACTGCTTTGAAAGTGGGTGTTTTGATTAAATATAAATGTTAAATTGGTATGGAATGAGGTGGCCATCTTACCGCAAGTTTTCCTCAGCCTGCTGCTTTTAAACTCTCTTGATCCGCCGCTTTGAACTTCCCTTAATTTCATATTTAATTTCATTCCCTTATTTGCTTAAATATATCATTTTAAACACTTTTATATAGTTGTAAGTTTAAAGACCTTATTCGCAATTTAACCTAGTTTTATAAGTTTAATAGTTCTATAATTTTATGCAGTTCCATAATACCACATAATTTTAAACACTTTTATATAACTACTTGGTTTATTTATTTATCTTTTCTTTCGTGTAAACTAGCTCTATATAGCTAAGTGTTAGCCACGTTCATAAAGTATGTATGTATGTATTCATTAGTTACCCACCATTCAAATATCACAGATTACATATGTTAAATATATGAATTCTCAAGAATTTCAAAGCTTGTGTGTATTCTCGCCCTAGGTTTCTTTTTAAATCTAAATACGGTTATGTCTTTGTTCTGATCCGCAGGGTGCTCAAGACAGCGAAAAAGGCGGGTTTAAGAAACTCCAAGTTGACATACCTGACAAATTCATGGGCGTCGTCATCGGAAAAGGGTATGAGAAGTTGAACAATATCTCAACTAGGACTGGTGTAACTCTAAAAGCCTTCAGGGGCAGCCCTGGCCTGTACTTCAAAGGATCAAGAGAGGGCGAAAAAAAAGCAATAAGAGAAATAAAGGCCATTGTGGTGAGTGTGAATTGGTTTCCCTGTGTCATCATTCTTTCTTCTGATTGGCTGTTGTGACTATGTTAGTTTTGGTTTTACGACACAGGATCCAAATCCACCCAGAAGACCTCTTTCATAATGGCAGGCATAATTATCAGTCTTTGGTGCGCAAGTAAAAAAGGGGTCAGAACATAATTTTAACCTCCCCCTAGAGAAAAAATTCTATCGATGTTTTCCACATGTTGTCAAGGTCATGGAGGCTAATTTTCATAAATGTAATAGAATACATAGGAGACTACCCCTTTTATGAAAGACATCTTTAGGCCTCGTAACAAAGGTAATGCCTCTTCAAATTATCTTGAAACTTAAGGTATGCTCACCTCTTGTGCTACTTGAATGTCTTGGTGAAGAACGAGTGAGGATTTCAGCATGGGGGGTTACCTTTACGATATGACATCACACCTTCCTCTGGGATTTCTAAAAACGAAAGTGAGCTCAAGAAGGCTCTTGTTAGGAAATTAGGGATTCAGTGTCCTGACGGCTTTCTTGGTATTGGACGTAAGTCTGTTGCAATGCACCATTGGCAATTAACGGTTTTCTTTTCATTTAAGAATCTTGCAATCAAACGTTCACAGAGTGTTGAACCTCCAGCAAGGTTTGTTTACGTAGACACTGCTCAGCTGGAAGAAAACCACGAGTTTGAGCTGCAGAAGTTACAATCAGATCAAGTCCCCGGCTCTGGAAATAATTACTTCCAACTAAAGCTACTGGAACATCCTCAAGGAAAGGTCTGCCCGATTTTGCCCTGATCTTGTATGAAAAACGACTGTCCAACGCCAAGCTGACCTTAAATATAGAAAATGATCCATGTATACAGACATATTGTGAATGTTACTGCTTAGACAATTAATCATTCAATCTCAGCAACACAGTTTAATTTACACCATTCACTAAATATAAACATTACTAATTTCACACTATAAGTAGGTAACTGAAGGTTTCGACCTATCATATTGCAAGTTCGCCCTCCTACGTGTTCGCTGTAAACCTCCACATGAAAAAGAACTACAGCCCCAGAACAAGAAGCTAACTACATAAATCCTCTATTTTAGTACTTGCTCTCATCACATTTTGTCTCGCCTTTGTCAAAACATTTCTAGAAACAGGCTTATGATGAAATTTTCTGAACCTCCTCGCCGAAAGTCGATCCAGCCGTTGCGTTTAAAACGGTTCCTTAAATTTGGGCAAAATTATATTTTGCATGCTTATTACTTCGAAGACTTAGTTTTCAATTAAGTCTTAACGTACAACGACTTTTAAACTGAGGGGAATCGACTACAACGTCTAAACAAAGTGACCCTCCCAAGCAATAAAACTATTAGTTATCACAAAAGACATCACACTCGTCTCGTTTCTTCACAGGAAACAGTTGATTTTTCTGACACGGACAGTCTGAAAGAAAAGATCCGCGGAGTTTTAAGGCAAATTCACAAAGAGAATGAGGAAGGGGGTATGGTTAAGATAGACATGTGGAGTCATTTCGGCCACGCCTATATAACCAAGATTGATGAAGGTGAGAAGTGGGGAAAGAGGGGAAAGAGGGGGAGGGACGACACCGTAGAAGAACAATAAGCGTATGAACGAAAAATTTTTGAGAAGGTATTATCAATATTATTCGAAGATTTACGAAAACATCTGGTTCTGTTTCTTACATAAAAGTGTAATGTGGAGGCGATAAGCTAAGACTTTATTGCTTGTTTTTTCTGTAATGCAGGTGAAGAGGAAGATACTTTTACTCTGAAGGAGATCAAAGAAAGAATTGAATCCACGGATGACAAGAGCTGGAGGCCGTTCTTCAAGGAAGGCGTCGAGAGAATTGAAGTCGAGGCAATTGAGAAGGGCCTTGAATCTTACACAGCAACTGAAGATATCAGATATGACTTCACATTCTACACTCCTTCTTGCCGAGATATTCGTGTAAAGGTATTTTAAATCTGTAAATAGTGTAAATAAGGACATCCATTTGTATCGTAGGATTATTTTCATCATCTGACGCTGAACTTGAATTGTCCATCCTCAAACGAAGACATTTTACTTTTGGTCAAACACTTTCGTGTATCGCCAAATAGGAAATGAAGAGGGGTATTCTCGTTTACATCTGCAAGGTTCAGTGAAAACGATACGGTCTTGAAGGAGTCCGGACAGTTTGTCCTTATTAGGGACGTTAAATGTATGATGTTAAAATCTCTTAAGTCATATTCTAGCCTCTTAATTAAAGGAATAAGTTTCCCATAGCTGAGGAACTGAGACACTGAAAAACTGTCTCTTGTTTTAGTCAGGCCTGTCTCCTTCACTGAATAAAGACTGATTGGAATTGGTTTTCAGTTTACCAAATTTTCTTGCTTCTCTCTTCCTGCCAGGCATGGCTGGTGGAGGAACATTCTGAGGACGAGGGTGCTACAGCTCCTTCGCTGATGTTCTCTCGCAGTGCTCCTATCCCCGTCAAAAACGTCTTGACTCGTGTGTTATCCGAAGACGAGGCCGGAAGTACATCGAACGAACCCTGTTTCCATATGTGCTCTCAGTTTCAGCAAAGAATGAGAGCAGATATTTTGATACCTTCCAAGGGATTTGACTGCCGTTTGTTGATACGAACATGTGAGTCTGTAAAGTATAACAAGAAGGACGTAACAAACAGCTTCTCACGGCTCTGAACGGCATTAACTTTTAATTGCTGATGGAAAACTTGCCGCGAATGACATTAAAAAAGGAAGGAAAAAAGCTAAAAGAGCGAAATATTGGATGATATTTGCCATTAGTTTTACCGACCAAAAAATAATCAATGAAAGCAGCTTACAGCACTGAGTACCTTTTTTTACTCCATGATTTATTCTTCTGAACCTCAGAAGAAAAAATCATGAAGTCAAAAACACCCGACTCTGTAAGGGACTAATTTTCACCGAGACTAATATTGGAAAAAAAAAATAACGGAAGAAACGAACTACGGGCTTCTGTCTAACATTGTCGCATGATGATAAATAAACCTCACATTGTCTCAGTTAAAAGTGTGTCCTTGTATTTTTGTTTAGGTCCAAATATTCCGCAGACACCAGAAGCTGAAGAAGAAGACAGAATTCTAGAAACTTACTTGATGAACATGAAAATTGATGAAGGTAAACTGAAGTTACCACCAAACTCGGAGCTTCCAGATGGGTTTGAACTTTTCTACCGACGTCGTAGTTTGAGAAGAACATACCAATGTCCAGCAACGGATGGAGAACAGTTTGCTTTGACTATTTGTAAAGACCAAGCTATAAACGTAAATACTGATCAACGTGATGAAGGGAGCTTCGACGAAACAGAAGTAAAGGTACGTATCACTACAATCAAGTTATTCATTCTCTCCGTTTTTGTTAGTTCTTTGACGTTGTTCGTGTTGTGATCCATGTCAATCGTCTGCAGTTGATACCGAACAGTCATTCCGTATGTCTGTAGATTAAAACGTCTGTAAAACGCTGATTCGACCGGTCAGTCCGCTAGTCAGCCAGTGAAATAGTTAGTCCGTAAGCCAGTCCGCTGGTCAGCTAATTCGAAAGTTGGCCAGTCGGTCACTCAGTCTGTCTTTAAATCAGCTGCTCAGAAAATTACGGTCTGTCAACCGATGAGTCAGGCAGCTTGTCAGCTAGTCAATTATTCAGCAATATCAGTCAGTCAGTAGGCCAGCTTACCAGGCAGTCTGCCAGCCAGTCTACCAGCCAGTTCGACAACCAGTCAGCCAGCCATCCGCCAGCCAGTCCAGCAGCCAGTCTGCCAGCCAGTTAGCTAGCCAGTTTGCCAGCCAGTCCGCCAGCCAGTCCGCCAGCCAATCCAGCAGCTAGTCTGCCAGCTAGTCAGCTAGCCAGTCCGCTAACCAGTCCTTCAGCCAGTCATCTAGCCTGTCTGCCAAACAGTCCGCCAGCCAGTCAGATAGCTCATCTGCCAGCCAGTCAGCTAGCTATTCAGCTAGCCAGTCTACCAGCCGGTCCTCCAGCTAGTCAGCCAGACAGTCCGCCAGCTAATCGGCCAGCCAATCTGCCAGCAAGTCTGCCAGCCAGTCCACCAGCCGGTCAGCCAGTCAGTCAGCCAGCCAATCCACCAGACAGTCAGCCAGCCAATCTGCCAGCCTGTCAGCTAGCTATTCGGCTAGCCAGTCTGCCAGCCAGTCCACCAACCAGTCCGCCAGCCAGTCTGCCAGCCAGTCCGCCAGCTAGTCCGCCAGCTGGTCCTCCGGCCAGTCTGCCAGCCAGTCAGCTAGCCAGTCCTCCAGCCAGTCAGCTAACCAGTCCTCCAGCCAGTCTGCCAGCCAGCCAGTCCGCCAGCCAGTCCGCCAGCCAGTCCGCCAGCCAATCCACCAGCCAGTCCACCAGCCAGTTCACCAGCCAGTCTGCCAGCCAGTCCGCCAGCCAGTCCGCTTGTCAGTCACTAAAATCTTCAGTCAGTCATTCAGACAGTCAATTTGGTATCATCATCAACTAAGCTGATAATGTTAATTGGCCACCGTTAAGAGTTCAAAGCTGACGTTTCGAGTGTTAGTCCTTCGTTAGCCCTGACGAAAGGCTAACGCTTAAAATGTCAGCTTTGAAACCAGTTAGCTGTCCTACATTTTAGTTCTTTGGTCATCTGTTTTGAGTCAATGGGAGTCTTACAGGCTTTAATTTCTTTTCCTAATTGTCTAATTTGTTTCGATTTCTTATGAAAAAAGGCGGACATTCATCTGCATTGTAAAGAATGGGATGAAGCTTCGTGCTTCCTGTTTTCTCGTCACCACATTCCCACCAATGGCGTAGCTCCACTTCCTACATATAAATCCACACACAACCCACAATTCCTCTAATCGCTCTGACGAAGGGCTAACACTCGAAACGTCAGCTTTTTTACCCTTTACGGTGGCTAATTTACGTTTTCAACCCAGTTGTTAACACTAAATTACCTGCTATACTCTCCCACCGACGCAGCACCACAGTTTCTTTAGAAACTTACCCCTTTATCAATAAGTCAGGCAGCTTGTCAGTTAGTCAATTAGTCAACCCTATCAGTCTATCAGCTAGCCACTACGCCAGCCAGTCCGCCAGTCAGTCCGTTAACCAGTCCGCTAGCCAGTCCGCCAGCCGGTCTGCCAGCCAGTCCTCCAGCGAAAGATTCAGCTAGTCACCCAGTTGGTCAGTCAGTCACTGAATTCGTCAGTCAATTATTCAGAGAGTCAATTTGGTATCATCATCAACTGAGATGATGACGTCAATTGGCCACCGTTAAGAGTTTCAAAACTGACGTTTCGAGCATTAGCCCTTCGTTATCCCTGACGAAAGGTTCACGCTTAAAACGTCAGCTTTGAAACCCATTATCTTGGTTATTTCGTTAGTGATTGACTATCCTACATTTTAAGTTCTTTGGTCATCTTTTTTGAGTCAAAGGGAATCTTACGGGCTTTAATTTTTCCTAATTGTTTAATTTTGTTCCGATTTTGTATGAAAAAGACGGACATTCATCTACATTGTAAAGAATGGGATAAAGCTTTTGATGAAGGAGTCTGGGAACCAGAGCAGATCGTTACTAAGCTACCGACGTTCCTAAAATTTCTGAGACAAGTTCAGTCACACGTGGCCCCACATGAAGAGACTATTGGAGACGAATTTTAGCCAAAAGCAATCGAAGAGCAGGATTAAATCTATGGTACTTGTAGGGGGGGAGTACTAAAATGTGATATATTAACTAAATGTGAATGCTGTTCAATCCACGGTTTAAGAAGACGTCATTACTATCCTACGCAACAAGCACTCAGTGCAAGGATGCAACGCATAACTTTAGGCTCCTGATGGACAGTGGAAAAACCCATTTTCTTTAAATTTTTAAATACAAAAAATAACTTAAATTAATAGCAAGAAAGGCTGTGCTTTTTGGGATAGAGCATTTATTGCAAGAGAAGTCATCCACTCACACGACTGATCTTGAGAAAAAAAGACTTTGTTCATCGCACCTGTAGTACGTGCGCCGCCGTTTGTAATTTGATTTTAGTGAATTTATACATCTTATTTGAGAATGTGAAAATCCAGCATTTGATCTCACCATCAAAGCTTGATGTTTCGAGAAAGTTCGATTCTTTAAGAGGAGAGAAAATTATCGGAAAGAAACCTAGCAATAATTGATTTGAATGACTTCAAATTCGATTCTATCGGTCATACAATCTCCTGAAACCAAATTGTCACGGATAATGGGTTAGATTAGATACAGTCGAACTTGCATTAAGCGGTCAACCAAGGGGAATGGCAGCTTAATAAAGGTTCGACAGATTAGGGGTATTATAAAAGACGACACACAACTACAGAATCTCGTTAAAAAATGCTACGTACTTTAATTTTGGGAGAGAAACATAGATTCAAAGATTATTCTAAGTCACATTTGAGTGGTTCCCCGTTCAGTGACAGTTCGATACAGGTGGAAAACAATAAAAACAGGCCGTTGAGACTTAGTAAAGGGTGACCGCGACCGCTTAAGAGCGGTAGTCCGTAAAAATGGAGCCAGATCGAAAATCTGCGGACAGACAGGTTCACCAATTTGGTTCAAATTTTGCATGTAAACTTAGTTAGGGGTTCTAATCGCGAAATGGACATTTTGGAATTTATTTTGCGGTAAACTACGGCTCACGTCCATTTGAAACTCTCCAGGACATAGAAGCGAGGCTGACGAAGAGCAGCTTTTCAATTCCTGGGTTTCATTTGCTTTCTCGTTTTTGTATGTTTTTTATTATAAAACAAATATGCAACTCTTCTGTGCTTTGAATATTATATTTCGTAGAAAAATATAAAGAGTATCCTGTATTTTCATTCTGCTTGCTTTGTCAGATTAGTGCACCATTCAATAATTTATATCTTCTGATTTAACAATTTCAAAGTAGTATCAATGTTCAATATATAAGTAATGCTTTCTTTCGAAGATTGATGTTTGCTTTCAGTAATTTACATTTACATTCAATGCAACCTTATACCTGCTTAATTTTTGAACACAAAAATACTTACACTCAACTTCAATCTTCATTATCTAATGCAGATATATAGACACTTTTTTTCATTCTGCTTTAATTCTGGAAGGTGTTGTCTCTAAAATCCAGTTGCAACGGTGGATTTGGCTGAAGTCGCGTTATGATCTGAAAAAGTGCCAGAAGACTCGAAAATTAGCTTATTTAGACCGGATACAAATTATACCGTGAGAGAGTAGAGCCTCGTGATAAGGAAACAGCTTTTTTCTGTCTCGCATCAAATTTTCAAAAATCATTAGTTATAGGCGTGAATTTTTCCTTATAGGTCCTGCTCAATTTGATTATTTGCTCTTGATCTCCATCGCGTAACAGCCTATTCCAGCTTTGAACGAGCTGAAGACCACGCGATAGAAATCTTACGCTCACAATTTTTAAATTTGTAGTGAGCATAGCACAGAAAAGCTGAATTTTGTAGCTGCAGAAAACAATCGTGTTGTAAAGCCGAAATGTTACCAAGTTATACTTCGCTAATTAAAAAGTTAAGCAATTTTCCAAAAGCTTTGACAGGAACAATATTTTTTACTGCTGTATTAACTAACGGAGGCATCGGGAAAGGCATCAAGAAGAATGATATTTACGTTATGTAACTTGTTGTGTGACGAAAAGTATCTTAACTTGATCAAGGCGTTAATCACAGTTGGCTAGCTTTTTACTTGAATTTTGCAGTCTTGACTGTCGTTTCCGGAAAAATGAAAAGCTACACAACTCTGCAAAATTTCCTTCTCGATTTTTATATTTTTAGACTCATTAATAAGTTTTTATCCACAACCTAAAATAAGAAATTTAAAATTTCCATCAGCTGAAGTTACTTTACTGTATATTATATGTATTTAATCGCCCCCATTTCACGTGGAAAAAAAGCTATTTGGAAAACACTAAGCTTCGAGAAACAGCCAAGTTAAGGCTAATGTGTTGACCGTCCTTAAATATGTAAAATCAAGGCCACTCGTTTAGGAGACCTTTTCTTAAAAGACCCATACATAAAAATAATTCTGTTTTCCGTTCGAATTGTTTTTTTCCCTATTCAATTTAACGAGAAGTCATGATACTTCTTTTTTCGTCACGCACGTCACGCAGCAAGTTACAAAACGTAAATTAATTCTTGGTGCCTTTCTGGATGCCAGCGATGCCTTTTTCCGATGCCTCCATTGTTTATTATAGCAGTAAAAGATATATGTACAATCAACACTTTTGAAAATTTGCTTAACATTTTATTTAGCGAAGTAAACTGTTTTCTGCAACTACAAATGATCTGTCTGATAAGAGGTATTGAAAGTTGTTTCACCGCTGACCACTCGTATTTCGCTCTTCTTTTCTTCCCCTGCTTGTCGCCCGTGAAGTACGAACTCTCGATTGCGTCGCGACGGAAGTATTCAAGTTTAATTTTTCACTAATTATGGACATCTAGCCCTTGAAACTTGAAAAATATCACCTAAAACTGCAAGAGTGTTTGATTCCAGTGTTTTTCAGAACTTAGTAAGATTATAAGATACTACCGGACCCAAAGTAAATTCAGGAACCAGCACATTCACTCCGAAAGAGACACCGAGGTTAGTCTACTCATTCAGGCTATTAATAGTTCAGTAGAGATGCTAAGGTCAGTCTACTCATTCAAGCTATCGATAACTCACTCGTTCGCTGCGCTCACTCGTGAGATATTGAGTTGAAAATTCGGAGAGAAACTCCATATCTACGCGCGCCAATGTACTATTTTCTATTTCGCGATCGATACTATTTCAGTCGACAAAGTGAAACAACATTTAAACTTTTGGTGGAGTCATTAAGAGGGAGTGAAGACCACCGAAAACTGGTAAGAAGGCCAGTGTTAAGAACATTCTGAGCCTGGAAGCCTATTCAAAGCACCAGCCAAATATTTGTTCCAAAACATTGTACTATACATTTGCATATGCTATAAATATTAATTTTATTATATAAATCTGCATATCGATATTTGTTATTTAAATGCCTTGAATTTCGGAATTTGGATTTTTTACTGTCTCAGTCATTATGGAGTGTTACTAGAGAATTCGAAAACGCTTCTTCCTCACAAGATTAGAGGAGTGTTCGGTCGCGTTACGTAGATCATTTATACCTCGGTGGTACCCGCAAAGACGACTGAGCTGTCTCGTTAGTCTGTTCAAAAGCATTACAATTATTATTCAAACTGTCATCGATTATCTGGTGTTCAAGCCGGTGTATATTCAAATTCAAGAGAGTATCAATGTTCAATGAGTAATGATTTCCTTTGAAGATTGATGTTTGCTTTCCGTAATATACATTTATATTCAGCCTTACTCCTGGTTAATTTTTAAAAACAAAAAAATTTACACTCAACTCCAATCTAATGCAGCAATGATACATGTTTAAATTTAACGTTATTCAGTCTGATTTTTCTTAAAGTTTGGATATAATGTGCGCTGTCACTAGTTGAAAGAGCGTGTTCTATCAGAGTACAAAGCGCCAGGGTACGAAGTATTTAGACTTACAAACTACGAGCAAAAAAGTTGAATTCGAGCTGCCGAATCATTTGGGTTTGTGAACCATCGCAGATTGTGAATAGTTTGACATTTTTGACAGCTTTAGTCTTATTCAACCAATCAGGTTATTTGCTCTATTCTAACAAGGATTTTGACTGACTTATTTTAGCGTGTTTCATGAGAGTATGAAACATGCTGACAACACTTTTGTTCGCTTCTGTTCTTGCAGCTGATTTAATGGTTATCAATTTCTTTAAGGTTTTCCCGCATTTGTCAACTTGCTTGTCATATTCATTTCCGATTTTAGGACCTGTATTTATGACATGGCAGAAGAAGCTCTACGATCAACAAGTCTTAAAGCAAATTTTCATCGCCTGACACGATTATTGATGCGTGGAGGTGTGCAGCTTTTGCGGGAGACATTAGACTCCATTCACTCACCAGCTGATCTCCCTTTGAAACTCGCTGACCCTGCCATACAGGCACAGCTGAGAGGAGCACGACTTACCCGGCCAGAGTGGGTTTGTCTGAACCCATCCCCTGGGGTATATGGAAAGTCCAATGATTTTGACATCACATTAATCTTCAAGTTATTCAGGACAATTTGCGGCCTGACCCCTCCCCCTGGACCGAGAGGATGGGATGATTTACCAAACGACTCAGACTACACTCTGGTGGCAGATTTAGTGCGAATAAAATATTTTCGAAATGAGATTTATGGTCACTGTTCGACTATGGAAATATCTGACATCGATTTTATTCATCTCTGGGAGGAAATTAGTGAGGCTCTGTTAAGAATTGCGAGAAATATTAGTCCTGCAAAGAGAGATCAGTGGGACAAGTCCATTGATGATCTTCTTCGTAATCCTTTGACGCCAGATGAGAAAAGATGCATTGAAGAACTAGAGACCTGGTATATGCGAGATATGGATCTTAAAAATGAATTTGTAAAGCTGAGAGAGAGGCTGAGAGAGGAGCTGACAGAGGGGCTGAGAGAGGAGCTGATAGGAGGGCTGAAAGAGGAGCTGAGACAGGGGCTGAGAGAGGAGCTGAGACAGGGGCTGAGAAAGGAACTGAGACAGGGGCTAAGAGAGGAGCTGAGGTCTCAAAGACCCGCGTGCGTAGGTGAGTAGAAGAGTAAATTTAAGTCCCCAACAGACAAAAATAACGAAACCTTATCCTCACTTCCTTTAATGTTAATCCAATTATGCCATTTTTCCCGAAGATCCTCATTTAATTACTTTGACCTTGCACATTTGCTTTAAAAATAAATTTACAAAACACCAATAGTGCTCTTTTTTGGGTTCAAATGCAGGTTGATATTTTGTTGTTTTTCTATCAGTCATACAGATCAAGGACGTGGCTGGATCCGAACCGACGTTCCTTGCACCTAATCTATTATTACCTGAGCCGGAACAAGCAGCGGGAGCTGATGACCCTGAACCAAATAATCCACCAGACATAGATGCTTGGAACGTAATTTTATCATTTAAAGAATCAGTTGATTTATTCTTTCGATACTTATCGTATAAACTTCATCTTCTAGTGCGTAACGACGAGGTAGGGAGCTGGCATATAACAGTTGAATGCAGTTCATTGCAAGTCCTTGAAGGATTGTGGGAAGATTATCGCAGTGGTCATCTTAATTCAGTTGCCCAGGTAATACTAATAACACCACAGGTCTTGAAGAAACTTGGTCGAACTGAGCTGAAACTGACGACCTTTATTTCTGAGGAACAGTGTGAGAAAGTAAAAAAGTTGTTACAGGCGAGCTCAGGTGATTATTACGAGTTTACCAACTTTGAAGTTTAAGCGTTTTTACAGTTTTTATTGATTCGTCACAATCATGAAGGCACAGTTTACCGAAAAGGAAATATGGACGGTGAATTGCAAATAATTTAGCTCAGTTGGGTATTTTTCACTATCTAGAGCCAGCCAAGGGTCTTGATGGTCTTTGATCAGATGCAGCAATTAACGAGTGTAGTGAACTTTGGGTGAAATAAGAAAATAAAGGGAGGTGAAGAATTAGACCCGAAATTGAATCCAATCAAAAAAATGGTTTTGACTACTTTTCCATTTGATTTGTTTTTCCGTTTCCTTAATTTTAATTATTTAAAGGAGCGGAAGACAAGAGCAAAATTCAAAGCGCCTTGCAAGCTTCAATCCCAAACGCTATTTCTGAGGGATCGAGCCAAGTAACATAGTATTTAACATGATTCCTTGTATCCAGTCACCTGAAAGATGGTTAAATTTTGACGAGGCAGTTAGTTTGTGGATTTGTATAGCCCCGATGCTCAGGCCTCGAGAGAGAGCAGCTAGAACCCTTCATTGTTTAGATACTCTCTGCATTATGTTACAATTCATGCATAGTCTTGGAGATGTTAATTTACAGTAATCAGGTTAATCTTTAAGAAACGCAATTCTGGATCTAGGCGGTCACTTGAGCAAGTAAACCTACATTTTATAGCTCTTTCTACATGATGATTGATCAAAGAAGCTAAAATATGTGAACAACTTTTGGAATGGGAAATTTCACGTTTAAAGAGTGCCTATAGGGGAGATGTGGATGGGAAAATCGAAGCGTTCCTTTCTTCTGTCGTTTATTACTTTGGAGATTGCTAACATCAGCAAATATATCTTTTGTACGGCACAAAACATTCATTAGTCTATGATTCGATTGTTTATCAACATTATCGCTTATTTTAGGCGATTTTAAAGTCTCATTCTGCGTGTTGGTTGACATACAAGCTCCCGTGTGCGACAACTTCGGCTTTTACAGACGAGAAATTCTGCCCTCACGCTCGAGAGGAAATATCAATAGCTCTATCAAATTAAAAAACTGTGCTACTATTCCGAAAATAGAACTAAAACAGTGCTGTCGTTGCCACCTACCGCCATGGAACACTTCCGTGCAGAACTCCACCAAAATAAAATCTGTGGCGTAACCAGAAGACTTCTCGTCAGGATTATTTAGGGCGTTGTTCATGCTGTCTGCTGTATAACAATTTCAGAATATTCTGCAGATCTCTATGTGTATTTGCTTGCTTCGATCGTAAAACATCAGCATTTTTCCAAGCATTCTATCGAGTGTTGCGGGCGTTGGATTGCGTGACCTGAAGAATGGCCCGGCCTTTTCTGCGTGCACGTGCGAGCCAGTTTACTACGGCACAAGACTCTTTCGAGTTTCGTTGCGTGGTGTGGGAGTTTAGGTGTGTTGGTCTGGCTCAAAATATTTCTGCACGCTGCAAAAGGGCAAGCAACACGGTATTCTCTATTTTCTCCTTTTCCTTCATTTGCATTTTTATTTTCTTTCTTTCATTATCATACAGGTATGTTTTTTTAATTCCCTCAGCGCGTTCCCTTACATTGGTAAGTAGGATATGAAAATTCAATATTAACAGAAACTAAAAACCCTTTCAACTATTAATTACTTCAAAGAACTGCTTTTATTTATAACTTTATTTCTTAAGCGAATGTGTTTTTATTTGCTATATATTGCCACTAGAACATGAACCTAGGTCCCGATAAGTTTTGTGTTTCGTGACTCCTAAAAACTGTGTTTGCGACACCATAAATTGAGAAATCAAAAGCAATTACGCCCGAGAAAATTTGCTTTTAGCCTTCTAGCCGCAGAAGGCAAATCCATGCAATGAAGCGTTCTAAGACCTTTGTAAACTAGAGACGTCACATGGACGAGTATGTAATGTGTTGCTCAAATATTTGCACTAAATCTGTAACCCTTAAACAGATCACGTACTCGTATAGGTAACGTCCGAAAAATGTCACGCATAAACAACACCGTGGGCGCGCCTAGCGAATTCTTTCCGCTTTCTTCATTCGAAAAGAGACAACTTATTTACTATTTAGTTTCGGTGTTTGTAGAAAAATTCGCACCATACCTTCCAGTCAGTAGAACTAACTACTGATTTCACACTAGTACGCACAGAAAACGTAAATGTCAAGTAAGATTGACCTCAAGTCTCACATTCTATTCGGCACGCTCAGGAAACACACATGCTAAGTAAGATTGCCTTAAGTTTCGCACGCTATTTGGCACGCACAGAAAAACGCACATGTCAAGTAAGTTGCACTGTGAAAGTAAAGTGAGGTATTTTTATTGAGAATTTGACTGTATTTTTTTATTCCTAGGAGCGGTCGTAAATATTCTCATACAAACTCTTATATTTTCACCATGACTCTTTTCTACGTGAGATGATCATCTGATAGCTAGAGCTTGGGCTGCCTGTGGTCAAGCAAGATTGATTTAAAGTCTCGCACTCTATTCGGCACGCTCAGAAAACGTACATCTCATTATGATTGATCAAGTCTCATACTCTTTTCGGCACGCACAGAAAACGCACATGTTGAGTAGGATTGACTTCAAGTGTTGCACTCTAGTTAGCACGCTCAGGAAACACACATGTTAAGTAAGATCGCCTCAGGTTTCGCACACTATTTGGCACGCATATAAACATACTTGTCAAGCAAGATTGACTACAACACACGTACTCTATTCGGCACGCACGAAACGCACATGTCAAGTAAGATTGAATGCAAGTCCCGCTATGTCTAGCTATGTTCAATTTCGGACCTCAGGCAAAAATTCTGACGAACAATCCCTTACTAGCTAGGTGGACTTTGGATGGGCCCTATGGAAAAGTACAAAAAGCAGCTGGTCTTTCTCAGAAATCAAAGAATTATCTCCCAGACGTGTGTTGGACAGGGGAGGAAAGTAGTAAAGCAACTGCCTATAATGTGGGTCCCCAAATAAAGAGTTTAAAAGACGACACCGGCCAGAAATGTTATCTAAGATTTACTGGTTGATAGAGCAGCAGATCGCTCGATACTTCAGCCGGCTATCTGCCCTGACAAAAACTGGTTTATTGAAGAGATCCCCCTCTGTAAGCATGAATTAGGACGAAGAGGTCGATGCCGATGATCTTGCTTCAGAAGTCGAAATTGACCAAACAAGACAGAAGATAGGGAGGGACCTTGCAAAGTTTAGACGAATACGGCAGGAGAGAGTACAGCTGTTATTAGGCTACAAAAAAATACCGACCTTTATATCGCACATTTCTTTAAAATTTATTTGCATTACCCACGCAGGAAGGCTACTGGTCAAAGCATTGCTGGCTCATTCTTTAAGTCGCGCGATTCAACGCCGGTAACACTCGATGGAGAGAGATATAGATTTACATGAAAAAAATGCAGATATTTTACGATCGAAGCAAGCAAATACATATAGGAATAAAGGGGTAAGTTTCTAAAGAAACTGTGGTGCTGCGTCGGTGGGAGAGTATAGCAGGTAATTTAGTGTTAACAACTGGGTTGAAAACGTAAATTAGCCCCCGTAAAGGGTAAAAAAGCTGACGTTTCGAGCGTTAGCCCTTGGTCAGAGCGAATGGACGAAGGGCTAACGCTCGAAACGTCAGCTTTTTTACCCTTTACGGTGGCTAATTTACGTTTTCAACCCAGTTGTTAACACTAAATACATATAGGGATTGCAGAACATTCTAAAATTGTTTTCTAGTAGACAGCATGAACAACGCGCTTGAATAATTCTTACGAAAAGTCTTCGGGTCACGCCACAGGTGTTAGTTTGGTGGAGTTCTGCATGGAGATGTTCGATAGCGGTAAGTGACGACGACGACACTATTTTAGTTTTATTTTCGGAATATGGTAAGGAGAAATTAGATGCTAGTCACTCTTAGGGGTTAAAAGGTTAAAAGGCATCCAAGACAGAAATACGGCAGTGCCCAAAGATTTTTTCGATGCTTTTTTGAGATGAAATTATAGATTATAAAGGAGAATTAAAACTAGTGTTGTAGCTTTCTGGCAAGGGGAGATATTTGACTTCAAAGTTATCAAATATTTGGATGAATCGAAAAGTCTAAAAACACAGTCATTTATTTATCTCTGTTGATTGACAAGTCGTCAATTAAATTGACTGATACTTGCGTCGTACATTTATGAAGGATGTAACAATTTGTATGTAAACCCTCGCGTCACGCGTCAATGCTGCTGTAGGAAGTACTCGGAAATGAAATCCGAAGAAGTTGTGCTTCATTCTCAGATAAATTTGGCAAACCAAGATTTCTTAAGACAAAGGAAAATTGTTCTTTCTTGACCCTCCGACGGTTACACTAGTAACCTTAAAACAGGTTTTAATCCCCTCTATTGGGATGTCGAATGCACGAAGACCAACAACCGTGACAAGGGTGATACCAGTCCCCAAAGACAAAGTTGGACTTGTCATAGGAAGGAGAGGTTCAAGAATACAGAAAATCAGAGAGCAAACCGGAGTCCAGATATCAATTGATAAAGAAAATCAAGCGCTCTTGAGAGGCACGGTAGAACAATGTCAAAATGCGGAAAAGATAATAAAGGAAATCGTGACGGTAAGAGCTCATTAGTGGGTAAAAGGAGGCCGAGTGTCTGTATCTAACTCAGTGTCTATTGAACTATCAAATCGCTGCGCAGTTCTAGATTATATTCTGTACATTGGATGCTTTTGTTTTCATATTAAAAAGCAAACTTAAATCAAAGAAATAAGAGGGTAGAAAATATCGATATCTACGTCGAGAGGTTTGACTGTAAAATTCTCATAAAGCCACTCTTTTTTCCTTATTTAGATTTTTTCTTCTTTGGAAATAGGTATTTTTATCAAATATAAATGTAATATTGGTATGGTAATGAGGTGGGTATCTTACTGCAAGTTTTTCTAAGCCTACTGCTTAACTCTCTAGATCCGCCTTTGAACTTCCCTTAATTTCATTAGCTACCCACCATTAAAATATCACAGATTACCTATG